CCTGAATAACTGTGACAACATTTCACAGTATTTTCATAATTTATTACAATCGATTAATGGAGAAAATAATCAGCTGATTAATAAATAATAAAAATGATCATTAATTGTAGTTTGATACAAAGTAGTAGCACCTCAACCAACTAATGCATGAGGATTAATAATCTAATTATAGTTATAGTATATAGTTAATTATATTATAATCTAATAGTTACAGTCATATGGGACATTTTTCTTTCTGCTTTCAGTAGGCTACGTTTATTTTTAATTGGCTAGCCTACTTCTACATTTTCGTGCATATAGCCCACTTGCATACTTTTACTTAACTTTTTCAATGCAGTAGCCTACTATTTTTACAGCGAGGTAGGCTATTAGTACTTTTATTTTTTTAAACGATCTGAATAAGCCTAAGTTACTTTGTTCACCACTGGCTAAAAAAGCCAAAGCTTCTGGTCGCAAAGATGTTAGAGAGGTTTTGACTGCATCAATAATCATTTTACACGAATTTATCTATACTCCCCAAAATCAGCTGCTCTCACTATCTTTGATCATAGCCTATAGATCACAGGCAAGAGATTTCGTCCTTCCACTCCGTGTGTGCACGCGCATCCATGTTGCCTGGTAAAGAACGTGCTTGCAGGAGTTTACCCGGAAACTCGGCACAAAAATTATCGTCCATTAATGGAATGTAGCGGGACAACTTTGAGGGTGTTATCTCATAACTTACCTTCTCAGCGTGACAAATACGAGATGTAGCGTGTGAACTGGCTGAAATGCGTGTGTCTCACGGTGACTACGTGAGGCTTGAGAGCCCTGTGATACAATGTAGATGTAAGTCCGGTGTTCTGTCGATTTATGCTACCTATCGAGATGTGCTACTTAGGGGTTCTGCGCATGTGTATGACCCACAAGCGTGGTTTGTTTCCATAAATCTGTGCAACCTTGCTGTTGGGAATGCCGTCGAGAAAGTGGCTGATCGTCAGTAAAAAAATCATTATTAGTCATATCAGAATATGCTACCCCTGATATCTTAAATAAAGATGGCATAATTTAGTATTTCAACATGCTCCCCATCTCCATACAGTAGCCTACACATGGAGTGAGTAGTGGTGCAATATAAAATGATTCTGTGGTGGGAGCATTATTTGATAGGGGATATTAGTCTATCAGAATACGCTACCCCTGAAATAATAATAATAATAATTATCTTTATTTGTAGAGCACTTTTCAAAAATAAGTTACAAAGTGCTTTAACAAGTGTAAAGACAATAATACCAAAAAAAACAATAATACAAAAACAATACAAGATAAAGAAAAGAAAAGACTAAAATACACGTTTAAGATAAATAAAATAAGTAAAATAGAATAAAATAAAAGGGATAAAATAAAGTCAAATAAGATCGGGAAAGGCTCTCCTATAAAAGTATGTTTTAAGAAGGGACTTAAAAGAGTTCACTGACTCAGCTGTTCCAGAGCCTCGGGGCCCTGACAGCAAACGCTCTGTCCTCTTTAGTTTTCAGTCGAGACTCTGGAACAGACAACAGACCTCTGCCCGAGGATCTCAAGGTACGTGCTGGTGTGTATGGGACTAAAAGGTCAGAAATATAACAAGGCGAGAGGCCATGAAGAGCTTTAAAAGTGATCAATAAAATTTTAAAGTCAATTCTAAAACATACTGGGAGCCAGTGTAATGAAGCTAAAATAGGAGTAATGTGGTCATATTTCTTTGTTCTGGTTAAAAGCCTGGCAGCTGAGTTCTGGACAGAAAATATTACAATTATCCACATAACACACACGGTAAGCCCTGCAGGCGGACTGGAGCCAGTCGTGGAGGCCAAGGAGTCTACTGAAGCGGCCAGCAGCGCGACCAACTGTGAGAATGGGACCAGAGAAAAACGGACTTTCCGCACTGCTTTAAAAAGTTAAAAAGACGGTTAAAATCTGATTTTGTCAGCTCAGACTGCTGAAGAGCTGTGTCATTTGTTCCGACATGGACTATCACTCTTGTGTGACTCTCTGTCTGAGCACAGCCTCCTTCAGGATCCTACGTCGGGAAGCGGAGGTTTTTGACCGGGATGACGGCTGCCGATCAGGTCCGGCGGCAGACCGGCGGTCCTATCGCGGGAGATGTAGCCGGTGAAGGAGATGCAACAGTGTCGGCAGGCACTGTGCGCCGAAAGAGATCCGAATCAGGGAGACTCGAAGCCGCAGGTGCATCAGCTGGATGGACCGGAGTGTCGTTAGACAAGGCTGCATAGCGGTTGGAGAGGCTGATGTGCGGAGGAGAGGCAGCCCCATCCGAGCCTCTCTTGCAGCCACGGACCACCACTTCAGCCCAGGTTGACTGATGCTTCTGAGTCGAGCAGGATGAAAGCCTGGGAAGGCTAGAGGGGTCCCAAAACACGGTGTCCTGGATGTTAGCGGTTGCGCTAAGAGAAACAATCTGTTTGGCTTGTACTGAAGCTACATCCATAAAGCCAGTCAGCAGGGAATCTTTCTCTTTGAGTTCCTCTGAAAGTCGTCGGATGTCTTCCATGATGTCAGCAATCTTTTTGTTCGCTTTCTTAAGGAGTGAGCAGTCCTCATGGGGCAGAGTTATCTCGGCTAGCACAGTCACCGGAGCTTTGTTGTTGTCAGTAGCGTTGATCGCGTTTTTACGGTCATCTAGCTTAAAATCCATGTCGGATGGCTAAAATCCTTAACCCACGTAAAAAAAGTTAAAAGTTAAGTTAAAAACTTAAGTTAAATAAAAGGATATAAAAAATGTAACGAAAAACTGTGGATTAAAACTGGATAAGAGTCCGGTTTAAGACGGAGCTTCTGACAGGTAGCTACAGACGCTAACCAAATGATGTTGTAATATAATGAAAAAACAGTATGTCATAATACTGTGAGAGTTATAACTTTATGGGATTGGAAAAGGGAACACATAAGGTAGCATTTTTCGACAAGGCAGCATAGATCATCAGAACACCGGATCAAACCATAGAGTTCCTGCTATTTTACATTGGGCAAGAGTAGGATTTAAAAGCTGGTTAAAGGTACTTTAAAGTTCAGGGCTAGAGAATAGTCGCCTGTTAGAGAGCCCAGTAGATTTATTACAGCACTTACTGCAGGGTCAGTGCTAGGTCAAAATATAATTCAAAACACAAATGTTGGATGTAGGACATAGGAATAAAGACCCAACTTTTGACACATTTTACTGTATTGAGGACTATCTGGGTACTGAAAGTCTACAAAATTAATAGTAGGCTACAAATAACAACATAGAAAAACAAGAGATAGGGTGTCATTTACAAATGAATAAATGTGGCCATGCCATGACAGCTGTGCAAAAAAGCTGGATAGATGAGAGGGTAGTAAACTCTAATTTTTACACCCAAATGAGCGAGGTGAAGGCAACTGAAGACCTTATTTTAATGAAAAGTAAAAGCCTATAAAAAAAAATATTAATGGAAAGGTTTGTCTTTTATTCAGCTGATCAGCTTAGACATGATAGAAAGCCAGACGTCCCAGCTGATAAGTAAATACTAGAGAAATGTGTGTTCATTCAGGCTTTGGCATGTAGCCCTTGCATGGAATATATTACACAGTACGACTTTACAAACAGTATGCATTTTTTTACATATACATGCACAAGTAGTTCTCTTTCCTGTATTCCCCACCAGATCCCCTGTTATCCCATCTCTGTTACAACTCCTTTATAGGGCTTCATAAATGTTCTCACAAATCATGAATGTTCTCCATTAGATTGATTTGTTAATATTTTTCAAACATCCTTTATTTGTATGTATGTAAACCTAGATTCTCATTAGAGGTAGTGCTCGTTGTGAGGAATAAACTTTTTCATTCTGTATTAACTTTTGTAAGATCTTTTTCCCCTTATAGTCATATAACTAATAAAAGTGAACAAAGTAAAATAAGTACAATGCTTACAATAGGAATTGCATTTACTTTGCATTGTTTATTGTCTGGTTTTAACTCATTTTGATCATGTATTCTTCTCACCAATACAATAAAAAAACAGAAAAGTGATCTCTTCACTGTATTCCCCTCTGTATGACTTACATGAGGTGACTATCGTGAATAAGAGGAAATAAATATCGTACGAGGTATGGTGTTAGAGATAGGAAATCAAAAAAGTAATCAATGGAAGGTGTAAAGCCTAATTATTCGCAACCCATTACAATTATGGGTGAACAAATAGGTTTACCAGATACATTAACCTGTTTTAATTTTCTATTTAATTCTTTTAAAATTGTATTTAAATGTCTTTTTTTTAAATATATTTCCCTGTTGAGTTGCTGAAATGTGCTATACAAATAAACTTGCCTTGCTTTACATGTGAGGGATAAAGTTTTTAGAGTAATGTTATATTTTACAGCTGTGTATGTGCCACAAGGCTGCTCTGCTTAATGTTAGTATTAGTGTGTTTTTATGTGGGTCAGAGTTCAACCATTATCAGCACATTCTTGTGCTTCTCCCGTATGGCTGAAATTGATATAATGAAAAGCTGTAAACATAATAAGTTGAGTTCACTGTATAAAATAAATAACATTACTTTAAATAATTATGCTTTTCAATGTCTAATGGCTGTGGTCACCATTTAAGTGCAACATATAAAGCAAATACCACAAGACTGATTTCTAAGTGACTATCTTTCTCGCAGCGAACCATGCCTCATCCTCAGCCACAACATTATTATTATGATGTTACACTACTGTGGAAACCTCATTTTATACACATTAAAATTTGACTATTTTAATTTGATATTAAGAATAGTGTCTTGTTTTTCTGTAACATACGCATTATACTTATATAATAGTGGGTTTTTTACAAAAAAACAACGTTTATATTTAATTTCATTTAGGCTATATTTTTTGTATAAACACTTTAAACAATGATTCATTATTTTATTTGAGAAAACTCAAATACTGAAATTAGTTTTAAATATTCTCATCGAAATAAAAAAAAACATTTTCAAATATTGCAAAGGCAACAGATATTGACTAAAGTCTTTATTGCAAAGTATAATAAAACAAATGACATTTAAGCTAAAAATTCTAATCCTACTAACCAGAGTAATGTTTCTGCTCTGTAAAATACTACAATAAACAGTGCACTTCAAACTAAATACCATTAACATTGCCAACATACAAAACATGTTTTAAATCATAAACCCTAATGGAAGAAACATCAGTTGCTATATATATTCATATCTATATTTATTCAATTCAACCAATTTAAATATAATTATATAATAATATAAATAAGTCTAAAGATAATATAAAATAAATCTATAGTACAAATACTTTTCAAACTTCTATAAAATCTTGGACAAAATGTTACACAAATGTACATAAAAATCAGCACATCAGAAGCTACTTGCCTTACATGCAATTTTTAGCAACCAGATGATAAGCATTTTTGAGTATTGAGAATTATTTTAAAATGTTTTTCACATGCTTGGTCATCACTATGTGACTATGTGTAATATTATTTTAAAAATACTGTTGACTACACTGTGCAAATAAGCCTTTATATTTGCATTATGACAAGATTTGGCATATGTGTGATTTAAGTGTTTTTCTCAGCAAACCTTGAGTTTGTCCTTGCTGAGAAGAAACTTTTCCAGGTAGCGCTGCACCTTAGTCAGAGTCTGGTAAAGGTGACTGTCGGGGAACGAATTGTTACTGATATGTCCTCCGGGTCTGGCCTGGATGGGACATTCCATTGTAATGGCCAAGGATCGCACTCTTCCCTCCAAGCTGGATACATCAGCCTGGATCTGACTGAGGAGCTCTGTGAATGGGCTCTGCAGTTCATTATCCAAAAGTCCCAGGTCATGGCTGATACTAGTTAGTCCCTCAATGGAAGGAGTGCTCAGTTCTATCTGTGGAGCCACTGGCAACTAAGGGAAGGAGAAGAACATGTGAGCTGTATATCAGTGTGTTGATTAATCTTGAATAAACAAAACATCCTTACTTTAATGATGCATATCATTACTCTATTAAATGATTATGATATACATGTTCTGGTAAAATATGGTCTAAAGTTAAACTTGTTCTTGCAAAACAGATGATATAATGATAAAACATTATAAAACAAGAAGGGAAAGGATACTCTTTCTTAAAACACTGATTAGATTCCACTGTGAAAAACTGGATAACTATGTGTTTTATAGACACTCTACATACCTTTGTCCTTAGTTTCTTAATGTGGACCAGAGTTATCTGAACTATATTCATTATGCTGTGTATGGTATTTCTGATTGAGTCTCCCTTTGTGGGAAGACTTGAACATCCAGGAGCCGCTACAATGGAGACATAAAGAAGAGCCAGAAGGATGTGCATCCTACAAAAGAAAATTGAATTATGGTAATATATATTATTTTTAAATCAAGTATATGAATGACAAACAAAATAACAAAAATCTGCACAATCACTATCAGTTAAATTAAAGCTTTACTTTTTGCATTAGAGCAAATAAATTAATTTCAAATATGTTAAACTTGAGTATTGTATTATTTCTGTTCTACCATGGGAAATATAAAAATAAAATATATTTAAAAATATATATTATTCTTACCTGTGTTTTTGGACTTTACTCCTGTAACATTTAATATCACAGAGAGATGATACATGCCTCTTTGCAGCTCCCCCCATTTAAATAGTTTTCTCCGGACTTGCCTGGATCCATTCCACTCCTCTGACTCAAACCTGAGCCAGATCCTTACAGGTCAATTTATCAACATGCTCTGCACAAAATTCACATGAAATGCCATTAAAGACATATCAGTCTGACTCAGTGCCATGGAACTCACACACATCCGATCTGTGTCCTCTGTGCATTTTCTTTACATGTGTCTTTGAAAGCATTGTTCATATTTTTTGAGAGATATTTGGAATGAAGAACAGTGAAACAAATTGTCTTTGCTGGAATGTGGTGCCTAAGACATTGTCTGCCTGTTTTTTATTGTGTTATTGCTAATAGGGCCAAAGGCAGCATCAAGAAGTTATACTTATATTTTATTTGATTGTCTCTTCATTTCCAGTCACATTTTTTGTTCAAATGGAGCAAGCTGGAATATTAAAAGGTTGCTTCATGCTTGTGTCACGTGACATGCAATACCTCAATGTTGGAAAAAGGCCCTTACCCTTTGAGTACAGCTGGCTATTTAAGATTCTCTGGCTGACATGCAGTGGCACACCCTCACTGCAAAAACTAAAATCTTAGTAAGATTAATTATCTTAATTGAAGACCAAACATAATTTTTTTTTGTCTGACAAGATATTTCTTCTTACCTGGCGGCTTTTATGTTAGAAAATTTCACTTGTTTGAAGTTTTTTTGGCCTTAAGTAGCAAGTGAAATATTCTTGTTCTGTTGGCAGATAATATTGCTTATTTTAAGTAATATTTCACCCATTTTAATGCTTTTTTCCTTGTTTTTGAGAGCTCAGTTTTTGCAGTGCTTTTTGCCCAAAAAACGCCCTGGAAAGGAGGCTAGGGATGTCGTTGTCCAACATCCAAGCTCCTGCTATTTCCAAGCTGCTTTGGCTATTTCCTGGCCTGACTATTTCAGGTGACAGAGCCCTGCAGCTGAACCAGTCAGGCTTTGGGGATACCTAGAGAGTAGAGACCCCATCAAGGTTATAATAGGTCCTGCTCAAATGAAAATGAGGGAAACATGCACCCTCAGAAAACAAGAGGGATCAGCTTTTAGCTTCAGCATATGAAGGACAGTGGGCTAACAGGCAGCTTAGATGAAAATCCAAGACCTTGGAATAAACGCAGTTCTTCTACTCAAGTTGAGAAAGTCAGTGTCAACCAACTTTTTATTTTCAGTGGCAATAAGAACCAGAGAAAGAAAAGTTTGCATTAATGCAGCTAGGCACAAGGAAGTGGAAAATCATGAATGAAGATTGCAGCGGAAATTGAGGTTAAATTCACCAGTGGAAGCATAACAGCAAATATTTGCCACACAAAAACAGCTTGAACTGAGCAGCCAGTCTTGTTTTCTAATTAAGGCCACACTAAGACAACAAAGAAATAATAATGTACTGTAATAATAATAATCTTTATTTGTAGAGCACTTTGCAAAAGCAAGTTACAAAGTGCTTTAACAAGTGTAAAGACAATAATACCCAAAAGACAATAATACAAAAACAATACAAGATAAAAGCAAGAAAAAATTTAAAAGACTAAAATACACGTTTAAGATAAATATAAAATAAGTAAAATAGAATAAATAAAAGGGATAAAATAAAGTCAAATAAGATCGGGAAAGGCTCTCCTATAAAAGTATGTTTTAAGAAGGGACTTAAAAGAGTTCACTGACTCAGCCGACCTGATTTCCTCAGGCAGGCTGTTCCAGAGCCTCGGGGCCCTGACAGCAAACGCTCTGTCCCCTTTAGTTTTCAGTCGAGACTCTGGAACAGACAACAGACCTCTGCCCGAGGATCTCAAGGTGCGTGCTGGTGTGTATGGGACTAAAAGTTCAGAAATATAACAAGGCGAGAGGCCATGAAGAGCTTTAAAAGTGATCAATAAAATTTTAAAGTCAATTCTAAAACATACTGGGAGCCAGTGTAATGAAGCTAAAATAGGAGTAATGTGGTCATATTTCTTTGTTATGGTTAAAAGCCTGGCAGCTGAGTTCTGGACAGTCTGGAGTCGATCAGTAGATTTTTGGGTTAAACAGGTGAAAAGACTGTTGCAATAATCCAGGCGTGATGAGATGAAGGCGTGTAAAATGGTCTCGGTGTCCTTAAAAGTTAACATAGATCGAATTGAGAAATGTACATGTTTTGCATTCCTCCGAGAAATTCCCAAACACACTTATGTATGGAATTCTCCATTCAGCAAGGAAACCTGTCCTTGTTTTAGTCACAACTTTTGGAGGCTGTATCCTCTTCCTTCACACTAAGGGAATCCTTGCTATGGTCATTTCTGGTTGTTGTGCAGAGGGTGGGCGACACTCCTTGCAGACATTTATGCTATGCAGGTTGAATCTCCTGTGCATCAGTTTGTTAAGAATTACACTAAATGAGGTGGAATCATTGCTTTCGTTTACTGCTGGATTTTAGAGATCCAACATAGAATCCAACGTAGAAAATATTATTTTGGTGAGTTTTCTGATTTTGCTTCTAAGAAATCTCACACCTTTACATTCATCTAGATTGTAGGTTTTTATGCAATTATTTTATTTATTGTCTAATAACTATGATCATACTGTGCAAAATAAACATCAATCCTCCACATACAGGTCAGTGAATTAATTATATGTTTCACTGCCTTGTCACTGAGCCATGATCTAGTCCAACAAACTGATTCTTCTCTGTCTTGTCCTATACTGTTGTGTGTAACGTCTCCCTTTTAAAATCAGCGGTTCCATAGTTGTTGATCCAGTGGCATGAGATTCCCAGAACTTTAATTAATGTCAATAGTTTTGTTGAAAGCAATGATCATATAATATAACTTGCCAAAATAAACTATTTAGCCTACTGCACTCAAACACATTGCTCTTTTTCTGTTGGAGGAATAACGTGACTCAGATGGAAAAAACTTTGCTTCTGACGTAGATTATATAGAGAGTCAAACAATTGAACTAGGGAGGAGCAATTTCTTGGAATGCCTGCTTTGGTCAATTCCAGTAAGCTGATATGGCACCGGGCCAACTAATCTCAACATAAACTTCCCAACCCTGTCTGGTGAATTTTTTTAGTTGTGCACCAGGGTACAAATACTGTAGGCGATGACTTGTCTGTACGGGAAATAGCTGTGTTTTAATACCTATGACAAAGGTCTGAGAAGGATTGTACTGTAGACTTAAAGCCCCCAAAGTATCATACATCACAAAAAGATTAGAGACTACAGAGACTAAAGACAAAAGTTCAGTCATAGACTGTCAGAGTTGTGAATTTCGGGGAAATATTATGTACTAAATACCTGAAAAACTAATGACATTCCCATTAGCCTCATCTGTCGGGGAGAGACAATTGACACACTTTTAAGATATGTCCTTTTAAAAAAATAACGTTACAGACAGAAATAATTTGTTGTTGTGATCAATATTCTATCAATACAAGCTGCTATCTTGTCAAAATGTGTAACGACTTCAGTATAATTTGATTTTAAACAAAAGGTGCGCATTGTTTCATTCGTCCCCACCGGATGTGGCAGATGAAAAACAGGGGTGGGATGGAAAAAAACACAATGACATACATTTAAACTGTTTATGTTATTCTTGTTTTTATTTAAAATGCTTGACAGTGTCCTTAATATGTAATTGCAAACATATTATTTCCTTTTTCTTAATCAAAAAACAAACAGTTAATGGGCATTTTCATTAGATCTCAGCTGCCAGTATCCTGATGGTCTGGCCTGCAGCCTAGTGGACCACGCCCCCCTCATTAGTATCTAAATAGTGTAGAATGGCTACCTGTCTGACTCCTGACAAGCTTCCATACTGTAAAACTTTGACTAACTAACTAACCAATCTATCATGTCATCATGACCCTGGCATATGAAACAACAAACACAACTTGTCATTCAGTGAAAGAGTGACGTATCCATTTTTTGTGGTTCTGGTAAGTACTGCGTACTGTATGTGCTGAGGTAGTTTTGGATATCAGACTTGTATGGGCTCTGAGAAAATTGCTGTGTTTCATTCGTCCTGCGATTGAATTGTCCCTGCTCTCCCCCACTTTGTGTTTAGTGCTAGTTAGCAAATGTTAGCATGCAAACAGGCAGAACTAAGATAGCGAACGTTGACTGTGAGAAGTTAGCATGTTGCTCCATTAGGCACAGCGGTGCCTGGACAGCCTCAGTCTTTCTAGTTGTTCAAATGTAATAAGAAGCCAACTCTTTGCCTATGTTAGCATAAACTTTCTCATTTTATATTTAAAACAGGGGTTCTCAAATTTAATAAATAGAATTTGAATCTTTGAAGTTGATGTGTAGCTTTAAAGCCACATAGTCATAATCCATCACAATTTTCTCTTTTTAATGTGAATGCATTCCTGTTCTGTCATCTGCTGACTTTTTCACTGTTTACTCTATTTGGATCCTGTACAATTGTATTACATTTCACTCCTTAAAGTGAAATGAAATGAAGTGAAAAGTGAAAAACAGCTACAGTGTTCAGAGAGCTGATGTCTACACCGCTTATGCTGAGGTTTCACAAGTGGTTGCTTGCTCCTGGAAGTAATTTAAGTCATCTACCAGAACTACTAAATGTGCTTGATTCCTTTTTTTTGCATCATCACCAGTGACCTGAATAAAAACACAGTATTGTTGCCAGTCCTACCAGCAGCCCAAATGACTGGAACAAGATAAATTTTCTGTTGATTCCATTCAAGTCCCTTCAAATCTCTTTTATGAGTTGGCTTTTGGCAATTCAATTTATCTCATCATTGAGTTGGAAAAAAAAACTTGGCTTTGCCTGGCAAAAAGTCTGAGAACCAAAACACCAACCAGATCTTTGAAAGGTTGAAAGCCAAGAATAGAATATTTTGTGCAGTTAACACTTTTTACCATAACTTTTGGGTAAATTGTCAGGGGGAGGAGACTACCCGTATGAATTTCATGATTTAATTTAATAAACCTGCTGTAACCTCTTTCTGTTTCCAGCTGGGACATTACTGGAACACTTTTTAAATTGGAATCGGTTATTTTTGGAACCGTCTTTTGTTTGTCTTTGTGATGGGAGCTGCAG